CGAGCCCGAGCCCCTCTAGGTCTTGATACTAGTCGGGAGCTCAGGACCCTGCCCATTCTCGCCCTTCCGGGTTACAGCGGGGTGGAACGCTGCCTCGCGCACCATCTCCGGTGTCCAGTCCGGGCGGGGGATGCGGAACATCGCGCCCTGCCGCGCATACGTGATGTCGCCCATCTTGCCCACGGCGCGCAGGCGCTCGGGGTCGACGAGCCCGCGGCTCGTGAGCATGTCCCTCCGGACGTGCACCGTCTTGACGAGCCCCAGCAGGAGCGTCGTCGTCACGGTGCCCGTCGCGGGGTTCGTGATGTCCTGGCTCGAGAAGAGCGTGCACTCGAGCGAGAACGCGGACTCGAGCACGCGCGGGGCGGCGACGTGGACCTGTGAGCGTTGTCAGTTGGGCGCGCGCTGCGCTACGTGGGAGCGAGGACGTACGGAGGGTGCCCGGGTCAAGCCGCTGAGGTCCCATTCGCTGACGTCGGGGGGCGCGTCGATGCTGCACGCGTTCGCGTTGTGCACAAACGGCTCGCTGATGAGGTTCACTGTGAAGCCCTTGGTCGCGAGGATGTTGGCGGCGGTATCCTTGAGGCCGCCAGTGCTCGGGTTGTGCAGAACGCCGATCGAGACGAGGGGAGGGTTGCCGGTTACCATGTTGAACCAACTGCGAGAATGTCTGGTCAGTAGGTGTAGGGAGAGAGCTAGATGGACCGGAGTACCTGAAAGGTGCAAGGTTTTCGACGCCATCCAGAGAAACACTAGATACAAACGCGACGGGTCGCGGTACGACACCACTGATCATCAACTTGTACATCACGCTGACAGTTGAACACCACGTTAGAATGAAGATGTCAGAGATAAGCATATACAGGACATACGCGGGGTCTTCCTCCGCGACATCGACGACCTTCCAGCCTTCCTTCAAACCCTCCATCCAAGCCTTCCCATCAGGCGTCGCGTCTATAGGCTGCCCAAAGGACCAATCTGGGTTCGGAGGGAGGGTGAAATGGGGTTGCGCGACGTGGTTGTACGGCGTGAGCGCGTTCGTCTGGGTGGCTGCAGAGGCGGTCATCTTGCGAGTATGGAGTGGTAGGATGGCAGAACTTGTCGTCCGGCCGGCGAGGCGAGAGCTTAAATACCTGTACGCGCTGGAGACAGCGCCGACGGCGGTAGACCACATCTGGCAGACAGATTGCTCGGACGGCTCGATGGCTCGATGGACAGGTCGTCGAGATCGCTCAGCACGCGGCATGATAACGCATGAGCAACCGCCGGGTGCGCTGCGCACGTTCGCACGGGAGCATGATTTTGCGTCTATCGCGTACACGATGTGCGAGGGGCGTGCCGCAGGGCGGCGAGCCTGTCGACGAGGAGGGCAAGCAAGAGGAAAGCAATGTGGGGGATGCGCAAGCGCTGGGCGGTGATTGGCTGGGGGCGAGGTGTGTTCGCAGGCAGAGGCGGCCGGACGAGACTGCTCGTGCTGTGCTGACTGGGACGCAGAGGAGAATTACAGAGACATACCTGCTTCCACCACTCGGATCTCACGCCGCCCCTGCTCGGTGAGCCATGCTCCTGTAAGAAATGTTAACGCTGCACTGCGATGTGCACCGTCGGCCGAGGCCCTGAGATAAGATGACAAGGATGACTGACCAGTGACAGGGGCCTATCGTTGACTGGTCGGGTCCGACGAGCAGGCATCCAGAGTAACAAATCCGGGAGCGATCCGAAGCTGAGAGGCGCAGACAAACGATATCGGTCATGAAGATACTGGTCAATGCGGGACGGGCTTCTCAACACGTCATTATTCGAAATTGTTGCATACAATCCTTCACATCGCCTTTCACCTCGAGGAAAAGAACGTACCGTCGGCGAGCGGGAAGACTCTGGATTTCAGGATCGGATGGTGCTGTTCGGTTGGAATGCGATTACATGCCGTCGCCACAGGGCCAACGTCACCGACGAGCATATCGGGTCTCTAAGGAGCTTCATGCACAACACCAGCCTGTTAGTTCCTCAGATACATGGCCCTTGAAAGGGCTCAGCAAAGTCAGCAGGACACGGCGTGCTCACCTTTCACTACATCACGCACAACCACCCGTTCATGTCTCCCCCATTCATTCATAGGCGAGAGATGTGATAGCTTGAATGAGTGCTAGCAATGGTCGGCGCAACGTACATATGTAGCTCGGCGCGCAGCGTCACCGTCACCACCGACCTCGACACCGGGGGCAAATCAGATTTTATCGACTCCGAACATGCTGAGAAGAGTGGCGGCGGTGGAGAACCAGTAACGGGCATGTTCGCGCCGCGAAAACCCTCAGTAAATTATTTATTTTCTTTGGGTCTTCGGAGCTTCGAACATGCAAGGACCACACAATGTGTTCCGGCCCGGAACATTTGTCACGTTTTCTTAGCATTTTCAGGAATGGATGCTGGGACGAAAACATAAAATCTTCGGCAACTCTTCGGCGAGCGACAATTCCAGATTCAATTTTGCCTTTGTCAATAGCAAAATGGAGACCGAAACTGGAAAGTACATTTTATATTTTCTGTCACATGTTCCCCGTCCGAAAGCGATGCCTGTCCTGCGCCTGAAGATTTTGCACGTGCGGGCCTGGAACATATTATCTACACGGACACAGAACATGCTAAGTACATGATATATTTTTGCCCCCCGAAAATAGATAATTTCTTCGTATGTTCGGCCGTTATTCTATTTTCGGGGGGCAAAAATATATCATGTACTTAGCATGTTCTGTGTCCGTGTAGATAATATGTTCCAGGCCCGCACGTGCAAAATCTTCAGGCGCAGGACAGGCATCGCTTTCGGACGGGGAACATGTGACAGAAAATATAAAATGTACTTTCCAGTTTCGGTCTCCATTTTGCTATTGACAAAGGCAAAATTGAATCTGGAATTGTCGCTCGCCGAAGAGTTGCCGAAGATTTTATGTTTTCGTCCCAGCATCCATTCCTGAAAATGCTAAGAAAACGTGACAAATGTTCCGGGCCGGAACACATTGTGTGGTCCTTGCATGTTCGAAGCTCCGAAGACCCAAAGAAAATAAATAATTTACTGAGGGTTTTCGCGGCGCGAACATGCCCGTTACTGGTTCTCCACCGCCGCCACTCTTCTCAGCATGTTCGGAGTCGATAAAATCTGATTTGCCCCCGGTGCGACGGTCAGAGGAACCTTATCTAGATTGCCACTTCGGGAGGTGCCGAGAGCACTCCTGATGTGGCGCTCGGCGCTTGCGCCCGCTTCACCTCAAACTTTCAGTTTCCCGCTTGTTGTCCGAGTTCGTCTTCATGCCCACTACTTCGTCGACATCGAATGCCTCCTGCTCACAGCTGCTACATCACCGTGGCCTCTGCTTCCTCTGTGCTTTGGATCTGCAATCCTTAGTCGCATCTGGACTCATCGCAATCAACATCTCCTGAGTCTTCTGAATCCGCGTCCACATCATCAGCTTCTACAAGTTGCGGTGTCATCATGCAATAACGGAATCCTCAGCGCACATGAACTCTCAGCTTGGGTTCGCCTGACGTGGCAGTATGTGGTTGAACACTTCGAACGGTCGTCGCGGTGAGGGCTGGCAAGTCTGCGGGCGGCTTAGTCTATCCCTTTTTACGCCGGTACTTGCCACAATCTTCATCCTATCTTGGTCTCACTTCCAGTCAAGCTCAGCTGTGCGGCTCTATGCTGGTGCGCAGGATGCGCCACGCAGTAGAGGCCGGTCGATGTTCTGAAACGCTCTCGGTCACCATTCGGACCACTTGTGGACCTACCTCTGGCGCTCCGACGTGCTTCTAGCCTCCCATCTCGCTGCTTTCTTGTCTGCATATCTTCTGTTGCAGAGGCAACATCTCTGGGGGCGTCGCCGCATCAAGACATGCTGATTGCTTCCCGTCGAATGCGCCCCGCTCAGGTAGGGTCTGCGGGAAGGGCCAGAGAGGCGTCCGCAGGCGCCGGTCGACTGAGTTTGATCACCATCGCGTCGATAGTGAGCGGTATTCGTGTCTTCGCGATATCTTCGTGCGTACTTATAGGTGGGCGCCGCGGCACACTCATGTGCCATCCTCTTCTTCTCGCCCCGTTCTGAAGGTGTGTCGGGTTGCCGTGTCGACTCGTCCTTGGGCAATCGTCCTGACGTCAATTCCTCGCAGCATACGCCTCACCTTCCGTCCTTTCTTCCTTCCAACTGAACAGCCACACTCTTTCGTTTTTTCATCCGAATTCTTACAATGCACGCGAAGACCATCCTATCTTTCATCGCCGCAGCGATCGCTGCGATGCCTGCATTCTCGGCCCAGCTTGGCGTGTAAGCACCTCTCCTCTCCCTCCGTACGACCTACCTTCATCGGCTGACCACTCCATTAGCAATGTCGACGGGTTGTTTGACCGGACGCTGGCAGACGCCGATCGCCGGAGGCGGCGGTAAATCGCCTGCACCCTTGCGTTCAATACCAGAGCAGGCCTGGGATGGCCATTCGATGTCGCCTTACACCCCTCCCGTATCTATTGCCGCGCTTATGGCACGTGTCTTGCTTTTCTTCGGATTAGTTCGGCACTCTAACTTATTCTTGCGTTTGCTGAGGATATTACCACACTCGCTGTACAGGGTTGTATCATATCGTATCGCGTTTTCCTGGGGCTGTGCCACCTGGACACAACTGGTCTAACCCTGAGGGATTCAGATGTGTCTCACTTCTGCAATTGCTCCATTGACATGGGTCGCCTGTAAGTGCCTCGTTGCGACGGAATCAAATCGCTCGAGCAACTCGATAGCTGTCTTTGCAGCACGCCTTCGTGAACGCGAAAGCGCAGACTCTTCGCATGCATGTCAGTGCTCAGTGCTGGACCCGATGGGCGCCGGCGCTCTTCGCTACCTCGTACGACAAGCTTTGGACTGAGCGGCCAGCACGCACAGAAGCACCAGGCTCAGTGCCGGGCTCCGTGCAAAAAGCGTCTGGCCCGCGCAGAAGCCGCGGGCGCAAAGAGTGTGCGATGAACCCCGGACTCGAACCGAGAACCTCTAGCTCCGGAAACTAACGCGCTGCCATTGCGCCAGTCCACCCCGGAGGTGGGGCAGCGCGGGTGGGCCGAGAGAGGCGGGCGAACGGACTCTCCTGCTGGGAGATTTCACGTGGGAGGCGGTGGGTAAGATCCTTATCTAGATCATATCAGCATGTGATGCACGCCCCGCTCAGGCTGAAGCTGAAGGTCGTCGCGCGGCAAAGCTTGGGTCCTTTCACTGATCTGCTAGTGCTACTTATCATGCCAAGGCAGCGCCGTACACTTGTATGGTGTCTCGCATGAATGGACCCTTGAACCGCTCAGGCTGGCCCGCCGGTGACGCGGTGACGACCGGAATACCCGTAAGTACTGTACCCCGCACGCGACTCGGATGGCCAGCCTCTTGCGATCTTACCACGGGAAGGCGACGTCGTAGCCGAGAGAGGAGACAGTGCGCAGGGGAAGAGGAGTAGGGTATGCATGCCAGCGCTCGACGCTCAATCCACGAATTTCGTCGACTCAGACTCCGTTGTTACCGTCAGTCGGCTCGGCGACCTCTGGTGTGGCCAACTGCGCAGTGGACAATAATATGGTTATGCCTCAGCAGACTGGCTACACGGACAGCGTGAAGCGTTGTGATGCGCAATGGTGCGTTCCTCAGGGAGCTTTTCTGACGCCGTTGATGATTAGGTGCGTCCTATCGTGTTCTTCTCTCAGACATGGTAGCCGTCGCCAATGGCTACAGCGGCGTCTCTGCCGTGCGTTTTTCGAAGCCCGCTGTACCATGCTGGCCAAAAAATCTCGGCGGGATTATTCGTGGGCAGAGTAACGGCCGCAAAATATCGGGCTCGCCCGCAATACATGCGCCAACCGAGCTGGGGCATAATTGAATAAGTATGCGTCGCTACGTGAAGGCGCAACACGTGTGTTGGTTGATGAGATCACAAGTGGCGTCAAAAAGCACGCTAGCTTCGGGAGTCGAGCTTTGGATAGATGTGATCATTCATCTGGTGGTGCGCATGCGTGTACGGCGGGTGCGTGCTGTGCCCCTCGGTTCATGCGCTGAACGTCGTCAGCGCTGCAGAGGGGGGCGTAAGGGGGACGAGCTGTGTTGCCGGCTCGAGTTTGAGTGGATGTTCCGTGGATGTTCCGCGTTGCAGGCCTGCGCCGCCATCCGATTCTGCGGCCTCCCGCATGGGGCGTTGACGTTGACGGGTGATGATGAGTCAAATGCGGGCATCGCTGTCACGGAGGGCTGTGTCTTCTCGTCAATTCAAGGAACAATGTTCCCGGCGGAATCATCAGTTCAGGCTAAGCGTGCGTGCGAGGCTTGAAGCGTTCACGCGTCGCCCTCTTCTGCTCGGCGCCTTGGACGCAAAGACGTTCAGCTTGGCCTCCGACTCTGGATCGGACAACTCTCCCTGCACCGCTCCCGCTCCCGCCCACCGCCGCCGCATCGCAGGTATTGATTGAGAGGGACGAGGGATGGCTTGGAAAGATTGCATCATACGAGCGAGGGCTGAGTGCACTGCGACAAGCGTCACAGTCGCTCTGGCGTCTGATCCGCGTCTGATCGCCCATCTGTCCAACCCCTGTCCCTCCGTGGCTGTCCTCCGACCGCACGCGCGCTTACCCCCCTCTCCTGCAAGCACAGAACAGTCGGTGAGCACACCCACACTGTCGATGGGGCCGTCATGTTACAGTGCGACCTATGTCTTTGCCAGTAAACGTCCACGGCTGCTAGCCTTCCTCCTGCTCTCTCGAATCGCGAAAGCACAGGAGCCGGTCTCTGCAGTGGTCATTCCCAGCGACTGTACTCGCCAGCCCACCCTTGAATCGGAGGTCTCTGATGCGTGCGCGTCCGCGTCCGCTTGACACATCTAGCATGTCTAGAAGCTGTCACGGCTCCCGCTTCCACCGCCTCGCGCTCCAAGGCGCTCGCCCATCTATCCCCCTTCGGATGAGTCGCCGCTCGCCATGCGCACGCGACAAGCCGCTGGGGATTGGCCTATAAATCCCCGTCCGCTGCCGCCCTCTCTCCCCCAGCTCACTTCACTTTCTCGGGCTCACCCTCACAAGCTGGTACTGGTTGGTGAGTACAGCGCACTTTATATGTTCTACTGCACCGTTTACTGATAGCGCGCCGCCCTTGCAGCCTTGCTTGTCTTTCATTCACGACCTTTCGCTCTTTACGATCCACATCAATCCACACCGTACATAACTGCAGATAACGTCCATCATGCGCTTCGGAGCTACTCTTTCGCTGCTCTTCGCCGCCGCTTCGGTGGCCCCCGCCGTGCTCGCCGCACCCTTCGGCGCCGCCTCGTACGTGCCGCTACACACTTATCCTCAATCATCACTGACGCACCATCTCAGATCCGATGACCTCGAAGTTCGTGCCTTCAACGACGAGGTCGCCGATCTTGTCGCTCGCTCCGGCTTCGACGGCGCGAGTGAGATCCTCGCACGTGCCGTCGCCGAGATGCTTGTGGCGCGCACGAACGAGGATCCGCCGAACTACAAGAAGGATGACCCTATCAACGGCAAGAAGCCCAAGTACACCGTGAAGGATCCTGCCCCGATCCCCAAGTACCGTCAGAAGGACCACAACCCCCCTGGCGGTCACGCCTCGCAGCGCCCCAAGCCCAAGGGCGGCCAGAAGCGTGGCCTCGAAGCCGTTGACGGACTCTGGGAGCGCGAGTTTGACGACGAGCTGTGGGCGCGCGCGAACGACGACCCGCCCTCCTACAAGAAGAACGATCCCAACAACGGCAAGAAGCCCAAGTATACGCCGAAGGATCCGGCCCCGATCCCGAAGTATCGCCAGAAGGATCAGAACCCTTCCGGCGGTCACCCTGAGCAGCGCCCTAAGCCCAAGGGTGGCCAGAAGCGTGGTCTCGAGGCGATCGACGGCCTCTGGGAGCGCGAGTTCGACGACGAGCTCTGGGCGCGTGCGGAGCTCGAGGACATGTGGGCGCGCGAGGTTGAGGACATCATGGCACGCGCGAACGACGATCCGCCCGCTTACAAGAAGGACGACCCCAACAACGGCAAGAAGCCCAAGTACACGCCGAAGGATCCGGCTCCGATTCCCAAGTACCGCCAGAAGGACCACAACCCTCCTGGTGGCCACGCTGCGCAGCGCCCTAAGGGTGGCTCGTCGGGTGGTTCGTCGCACAAGCGGGAGTTCGCTGATTACTTTTGGTGAGCGGACGGTTGGGAAGGGGTCGCGCGTTCATGTGGTGCCTTTGTATAAGATTGTGGATTAATGAGACTCGATTGGTTGTGGATATCTTGCTTCGGCGTGCTGTTCGGTGTGTTGTTGATTGTGTGGGTATGAGTGACTTGTCATGGTGAGTCGGTTGCAGTGAGCGCTGTTCCATGGGGTGTATGCCATGACGAAGTTGACTGCATGACAAAATTCGAGTTGTGGTCGTATTGATGACGATGTCGGCTGCATACGTTAGGTAGTTGGTTTCTCTGACTTACGGTCGTATCGTCGGCTACGTATGTCAGTTGGCTCTGCACGTCCCACACTATTAATTACAGATGCTTACACAGTACAAGATGTATGGGGCGGTTTCTAACTTACTGAGCAAAATTCACAGGTCGCCTTGCATGTCCTATACAGCCGCGGCAGCGGATATGTTAGTGCGGCGCGCGGCGCTTCGAGTTACGAGCTCCAGCGTATGCGCGCTGCGGACCGACTCTGAACAGACCAAGAACGTGGGCACGGTTGCATACGAAGCTGTCCTGTACGTAACAGTATGAGAGCGGGTTTTCTCGTCCTCACCGGCAGGGCAGCAAATCCAGGAAGAGTAAACATGGCAGATCTTTTATAAAGCTTTGACCAGGTATGCGCACGAATGCGTACAGTACGTAGGTAATAGCATTGCGCCGCAGCACAGCGCGTCGGTGATCGGGCACGTAAATAATAGGGCTCGCTTGGTGGCCCCCACAGAGGCCCCAAAGAACGCGACGTGTGTAATGGCGAAAGAGCAGACGACGGGGGCTCAATGAGTACTGGTGTTAAGGACGCAAGGCGCTACAGTACATATGCATGTTGGCGAGCGATGTATGCACTGCAATATATAGCGGGAGTGCCCGTCGCACAAGGCTCGCTGTCAATAAACGTTAACATTGATGACGAACGGAAAAGCGAAGCATTGCCTTGTTGAAGTACGGTATGATGATGATGATGATGATGGATTCTGCATTTATCAACCGCAGTGTTGAAGTACGGTAGTAAGGACGCGAACGCGCAACAATGACTCGGATCCAGTATTGCAGTGGCACGTGATAGGAGCGCTGTAACTGTCTGCTCTGACGTGTGCATTCGAACACAAACCTGCAGCTCAACTGGACAAGACAATCGTGCTAGGGCCGACAACCAATTCGTTACGGGACATGCATACAAGCCTTGTCCACGTAATGCCATGTCCTCATCACAACGATCCCCCATAGCAATTCTTAGTTCGTCTAGTATGCATTGGCCCACGCGCCGATCCTGCGCGTAGGCTTCTGAGACGAGTCATTACACCAGCCCCTGCACCAATCTTGCGCGGAGCGAATGAAGGTTCCTGGCCTTGTACATTGGGATCGAGCTGAACGTGCTGCCTCTTCGGACGAGCACTCCTCTGAGGCTGCCCTGACCCACTTTGTTCCCCGCCGCGCGCAAGGAGCGTTGCAGACGACCGATGAGGTGTCAATGGTTCACGCCGCGACGGGTCGAACCGTGAGATACTCTCGGCCAAGGAGGTCAAGATTCCAAGAATCGCAAGCTCACGCGCAGAGAGCGGCAGGTCGTCTGCAGCGCTCGCGCTGGTTCGGGTTTCAGAGATGCGTGACGATGCGGGGATATGGAACGGACGTAGGTGAGCATGGAGACGTACCTGGGACGCGCTACGTCGACCGAAGCCAAGCGAAAGCCGCAGCGAGGGCGAGAGAGAATAAGCCTGCGAAACGCATATTGGGTGGTGAGAGCGGTGGAGAGGAAGTGTGTTGATCACGGAGAGGGCGCGGTGGTCGTAGCCGGCAATGCAACTCAAGGACGTCGAGTGA